TGTGAATATCCTTTAAATAAACTATAAGGCATCATGTTGAATTCCATTCCTGTCTTTTATTATTCTGTCTTTTTTCTCAGCCCCAAGTATATATTTAGTATTTGAACAATATTAAAGCACAATTGCCATTTGTAGTTGTTCTATTCAGGAACTGCAATTAAGCCCTACTACATTAAAAAAAAGGCAACAAAGTGAAATGATAATCTCAATCTCATTAGCAAAATATCAATCCATGACAATATACTCTATATCAAAACAATCACCTAGTGCTATCCAAAGGGCTACTTTTGTAAAAAAAAAAAAAAGGTTTTGCAAAGCCTATGAATGGTAGTCCTTAGAGCAACGTAAACAATCCCATGCAACATTTTTAAAAGGGAGTGGGCATTTTTGGGGGACATGTTAGAACCACTTTAACATGTTAGGGCAATTAAAAAAGTTACTTACAATATTTGCAAATCTGTAGCTTTATTTAAAATAATACCTGATGATCCTATCATGAAGATCCCTGTTCAAATGCTTCTTGTTCTATAGGGTGACAATGTTCTCTTAATTGTGCTCCTCTATTGTCATCCTGTAACATTGGCTTCCTATGGAGATAAGCAGTGGCTGTTCCAACACTCATCACCTAGGTATGGTCCATAGTTGCTACTAGAGATAAGCGCAAAATTAGTAGTTTTGTATTCGCAGAAAAGTTGCCAAAATTGCCTCTAAGTTTGGCATACAGTAAAAAAGAAGGGAGCAACTTCAATTTATTATAAGTATGTAAATTTGAATTCTGAATGATCTTAAAAGATCTCGAAATAATGTCAAACTGATGCTGTTCTGGCCAGCATTGGAAATTATAATTTATCTGCCTGCAATATCAAAATCACCCACAAGATGGAGCTGAATAGAAAACATCTCTATTTACAGCTTAGACTGTTTTTCTTTAACAAAAAAACTTGCAGCATTCATCTACCCAAAGAGTAGGAATCAAGAGCATTTTGGGAGTTCAGCCTCCATTTTACAACAGAGGAGAAGAGAATCCACTTACATCCACAGTACATGTCTAGAGGGAAGAGCCCAAATCTCTTTTAGGCAGCATCACTGGTTTAAATGGACTTGTTTCTCTTTGTATTTGTGAGCTGACACTATGTTCTACATATAGTGATTGTATGTTTCCATGTTCTTTTTTACTAGTTTCACCCCTATTTTGTTAATAAAGCATCACAATTTCACTCCATCTGGCTTATTGCAGAATAGGAGGGTTTAGCTGCATGCCAAGCTATACACAGGACACAGGATACATGAATTGTGGACTGAACAAATGGCATGATCCTATAGACTGCCCTGCCCTTAAGACAAATAAAAGAAATGGTCACTCAGCAATGCTGATCCTCCTTGCTTGCCATAAGATTTTTTTTCTAACCTTAGTTTCTAGCTATTTAGATTCAAGGTCTCTCTATTCATTGATGAGAGCCACTCCCCTCATCTTAAGTTGATGCACAAATGTTAAAAAAAACACCTATGGGGTGATGTCACTTTTCTTCCAGTGAGGTTCTGGTTAATGTTAAGTAGCCCATATTTAGCTAGAAGACACTACTGTACTGTGCTATAGTGTCATCTCATAATAGTTAAGGGTACTCGCCATTTTCTTGGATCTTGTTGGTAGGATGTTGATGTCACCCCCTGCAGTACGAAAGCTGGGGCAAAGGTAAACATAATAATTAACATATTTTTTCCCCACAGGTATTTTTTACATTTTTGTGCAGCTGATTAGGATTGAGACTGGGGCCCTCAGTAAATAAAAAGGACTTGCATAAAGGAACAATAGAGGTTGATACCTTCTGAAAATACTAATTACTAGTCTGGTATAAGCATGCACATTAGGATCCCTGACTTCTTTTAGCTTTTTTCATCTGCATGTTTGTTCCAAATCAAATGCACAGGAAGTACTTGAGTCAGAGATAGCCAGACAATTAGCATTTTCTAAATAAATTCAGCAACAGCTGCATCCATTTTTTTTTCTTTTAAAGGAGAATTATGGGGAGATGGAAATACACTCATCCCCATAATTAGAGTTGACGAGTGACACCACAGCTATCATACGTCGGCTCTATTGATGGAGAACTGAGCAATCACATACTGCTGATTGCTCAACTCTCGGTCTCCTCCCTGCAGACCTGCTTTTCTACTGAGACTGTGGCTGCTTTGGAAAGAAAATGAACTGTAAGACCTTGAACACCTGTTGTTTTGATTCACATGTGAGGGTTTAAATAGGCTTTAGGCCAATTCCTAAATGACAACAAAGTTTGAGGGGCAGGCTTAGACTGAAAAGAAGTATAATTGCAGTTTCTAGAAATTACACCCCGTTTATACCAAGGCATCAGAGTTTTTGCGCGTTTTCACCTAGCACTTTTAATAGTGAATTTTGAGGATGAGGCCAGCGGGGGCTTGCATCATTTACTACTAATTTGCCTATTAGGCACCCTTATAACATGATGTTTTTCACTGTCTTTCATCTACTACTAGGGACATAGTCATAAAACATTGACTGTGACATTCACCATACATTCATAGGTGGCTATTCATTCCCTGTAATTCAAAACACACAAACCAGGAAGATTGACTTGCAGTGAATATTTGGTCAATGTCACATGTTGCTGATTTATAAATGTGGCTCCTGGTGTTTAATTTTGATATTTTCCTTTATCTTTTTGTGAACACGTTTGTAAGCAAAAGAAAAAAAAAAGCTTTGTTTGATATCTATTTTCCTTTTCATGCACTAGAATATAGTAAGGATGGCACTAACAATGCCAACCATTGTTGAAACAATACCAGCAGTGCAGAATATTCTTCTCCAATATAACACTCTGTAAAAAATGGTGCAGAAGGCAATTAAATTAACTTGTACAACTATGAAAGTTTAAAAATAAGGGGAGACACAAGCTTTCTTTCTGTTAAAATTAATAGCTGCAGTAAAATGAGCTGGTATGCATAATTCAGATTAATATTAGATGGCTATTTTACAAACTACTTTTGGTTTTGAGCAATATTAGATACAGTATATTAAAAAGTCCCGAAAGGTCACATTTGCATGCAGTAATATGGGTACAGCACAATATGAACTAAATTTAGAAATTTTCCAAGAAACTGGACATACAGCTGAAAGCAATACTATATGAAAAATAATATTTAAATGAAGAAAAAAGAACTACTAGTGGTGAATTATTAAAATAAAAGATATATATAATGAATGTCTTGTCTGAACGCCTCTAATTATTTTCAGTTGCTAAGCAGAAGAACTCAGGGCCCCACAAATTGGGCCCAAGTTGAAATTAGAGTACAAACCAATTGATATCTCCTTTTGCCATGTATTACTGCAAGGGTCTAACCATATGTTATGGTTTCCTTAGAAATATTAAAGAGGCACACATCTACCAACTGTTGTCATGAAGACAACTTCAAGCAACCTTGTTGGTGAAGCTAACTGAGTGCAGGGGTATCTGCCAATGATAATTTCTGTCACTGTACCTTTTTTGAATTTTTTTCTTCCCCCCACCATCACCTCCACTTTTGTTCCTTGCTGCCTAGAGAAATACACAGGCCACCATTCCCTTCTAAAAATGCTATTTGTATAGTATCATGTTAGTCCAAAAGCTCCAGTACACCAACAACTAGCATTTTAGATGAAAGTTAGCAAAATAAACCTTCTTATTTCTCTCAGCGCATGTTGTGTTTAAGAAGAGAAAGCATGTACTCATAACACACCAATTATATTATGCAAAGAAGGTTTCTGAGCTATGACTTGGGAAGAAGAGCATGTTTTGCTCCTCTATCAGTATTACTTTTTCTAATCATATCAAAGCTTTCTTTGTTACATTTACAGAACTGGAGGTGTTTTTCTATGTCTGGCACATGCACCATCCATAACCTGCTTACCATATTCCTCTGGACACTTTATCCCATTGCCTTATGCCTTCCACCTAACTTACACATAGCTTTTACTGTCCAAATGCTGTTTTGACCATATATTATTTTGATGCGATGGAAAATAGTGCTTTGTTTAAACTTTTTATATATCTTATCAACTAATATTTCATGTAGCAGCGCCATATCCACTAAAGACAAAAGCCACTAAAACCTACAACACCAGCAATTGAGGAGAGCTAAAATCTTTATATTCATGATGTAGAAGGAATGGGACTAAGTAAAGAAAAAGATGAAGTGCTCAGGCTTTGTAGGGATAAACAGTTTTGTTAGTGGCAGTAGTAATTCTGCCACTAAATTAAGGATTTCTGGTTGCAGCAGCTGGAGGTTTGGTGGGCAGAGGTAACTGGTCATTTAGTTTGCCTATTTGGCAAACTGTGAACATGTGACGTTCAAATCTCATCCCTACTCAATACCACTGCATCCGACGCTTTGCATTGCACTTGGTGATGTAAGGCTTGGATGCAGCTGCTCGGCCACATAAACCCATTCCATGAAGCTCTCTACGCACAGCTGTTGTGCCAATCTGAAGGCCACACAAAGTTTGTAGGTCTGTAGCTATTGACTCTGCAGACAGCTGGCGATTTCTGCACACTGTGCGCTTCAGCATGCGCTGACCCCGCTCTGTCATTTTACGTGGCCTACCACTTCGTGGCCTGAGTTGATGTTGTTCCCAGTTGCTTCCACGTTGTTGTCTGCATCCCCTCTCTGCCAATCCTGATAGATAGATAGATAGATAGATAGATAGATAGACTTTTTTTGATTCAATTAAAATAGTTAATTCACACTAGTTCGATGGGCCTTTCTCTTGTTGTTTAAAAGTATAGGTCTTGGCCCTACTAGACAGATTTCTCGGTAGGGATTTTAGGATACCAATTTATTTTCCCATCATATACTCCTTCAATCAACTGTGCAGCTGCTGCTACTGTCACTGCTTTGGCTTGGTCCACAGTATAGGACTCCTTAAAATTATGAACGAAGACAAAATACTGAAAAAACATGGCTACATTTTTATAAGTATGTATCCTTACCAAATCTACTGCTTCATTTGCTTTTACTCTGGCCTCTTTTGCAGTGTCCTCAGCATTGTCAATCAAGTCCTTGATATTGCTGTATGCTTTGAAAGCCACCGTAGCATTAAATGAGAGGTTCTTAGCCTCAGCAAGGATTCTGTGAAAGCAGATAGCAATGTTAAATTCAAATCTAAATGAAACCCTGCAGAAAGGAAATGATATCAAAATAATGTGCAAAATACATTGCTGCTACAGCAAAACAATTTATCTATGCACCGACTCCACAGCGCAGAAATGGGTACATATTCTTCATTTGTAAAATCAGCTTTATCTGCCTGTGTGAACCCCACAGCAGCTGCATGCACAGTTTCCTACTCAATCATTAAATCATATAGCTTCCTACCCAGCTAGTCTTTAGTGCTTTGACACAGAAACACAATGGGAGATGTTCTCTAAGATGCATTAAGTAATCATTAGGATGCTAAACATCCTCTGTCAACACACAAGGATTAAAAACATACAATTTAGTCAAATAACGGGGCATCAGAAGGACACAAAGTCCAGGGTAACAACTTACTTGCCCATGGATCATGGATTAACTCCTTCATGCCTGCAGCTGCTCTTGGGTTTGCAGGAGAGTCCATCAATAAAGTTCTCAATGCTCAATTATTTTATCCAATGTCTACAAATGTTCTTTTTTTAAAAAAAATTGATGCATATAACTGATGAATTAGCATAGTATAATATCTGCAGATTGCATTGTCTCTGGTACTACTAAAAAAAGATTTAAAAAATATATTTAATTTATTTATGCAATATGAACCCTTTAAGGAAGGCTTGTACTATGTTACTATTACTGTTTCACTAGCTAAGTTGCGCACCACCCTCACTTTCCTGAACCAATTAATTTTAATCCTCCCCCATTCTATCCAATTTTTTAAGTATTAGCTTTAGATACATTTTAATCCCACCCCAAGGATCCCTAAAACCCCTAACACCTAAACACCAACCAACCTAACAGTTGAAGTTCAACACCTAACAAAGCCTTGGGGAAGAGCTAGAACATATTTCAGTTTTTCTTTGGTTTCAGTATGTGTGTTCCCATTTGCTTCCACCTTCCTGTCCTTGCTACAACAAAAATGATTGACTCAATGGTTTTTATGTGGCCCATGGTACCACATCCATAAATATGTATCAAATTTAAAGTAGAAAAAGTTGAACCTTTATGGTACCAAAACACATAGAATATAATAAAACATCATATTTATTTAAATTCAGTTAAACACAATATACAATGTATGGCATTTAACAAATATCATCATACAACATCTCACACAGACAGAAAGAAAGACCTCAAAAAGCTTTACCTCAAACTACTACTACCATGCTGTAATAAAAAAAAGTATACTTATTATATCTTTGCTAAATTTATGCTCACACTCATATACATAGAGGAAGCACCAAAGATATAACCTATTTATCATAGATGCTGGTGAATAAGTGAAGCAAGGATAAAGGTAACAAACAGATGTACCAAAGAAGTACAGACATATTCACTGTCCAGAAGTGCCAAAGATGAGGCCAAGGACACCTGACAAAAGCAAGTGCAGGGGCACTAAAAGAAGTGGTGGACCTACCAGAAACATGAATATGGTTGTAATAACTATGCTTTGCCAAGAAGGGAATACAGTTTGGATGTCTAAATAAAGATAATTGTGGATGTTTAAATACAATTTTCCCTATAGATTCAAAATTGCAGATACAGATATGCAACCATGCTTTCTCACTTAGTGTATTTGTCCATAGGCCGTTCATGTATATGTAGAATAAAAAACATCCTCCACAGTGACTCTATAAGACAACTTTAATAATAATCCTCCATAGTTGTAAAAAGGTCTGGGATACACCCGCACATGGGGCACCAAAAAAAATCACCCCTGAAGTTTGGATTTTCTGTATGCATTGGTTAACCTCACAATAACTCTCACTATTTTACCTACCAAAATAATTTGAAATGTTTAGGGATATATAAGGTTTTATATATCCACATGTTAGCTCACAGTTTTAATACATACCCAGGTCATATTTTTTTATAATAAGCCAACAAATGGACATAAATGTGAAAAAATGCAGTTTGTTTAATGCAGAACATGTTTTGCAAAATTATTTGCCAATATTTTCACTATATGATTTTCTCCTACAGGGACATCACATATGTGTAGGTTTTGATACCTACTGCATGGTTAATAATCAAGTGTGTATATCTTAAATTTATAGATATTAGGCATTTTTTGGTGCAATAGCTGCAATTCACCAACCAGCCTAGGAGGACCATTGCAAACTGATTAAATAAAAAATGAGGCTTCAAAAATAACAAATGTGTCTATGCTATACATTGTGTGTGCTTGCAAAAAGGCAGGCCTATAATTATTTATCTACCTGCAGGGGGAGATAGTTGCTGCTATATAATTTAGTGCTGCTGGTGTTGCAGAATACTGCTATATTTACAGTAGTCATGTACACAGTCAGTGTGTTTTGGAGAGACCTTGAATAGACAGGGAGTGATCAATCAAAGAGATCACATAGTGTTTGCAAGGAGAGATATTTGTTGCTCTACTACACAGTTATGCCGAACAGTGCTAAACCCAATGCTGTATTGTGCCTCATTACAACAATGAATTGCAGTTTGGTGGACTATAAAGTTTGCAATCCCCACCATTCACTGTGGTACAATATTTTAGACTTTTTTCTTTGAAATAATAAACTGTTGTTTTGATTTTTTTTTAGTTAAAACTTGTCTGGTGCCTTCCTCTGAAATTGCAGCCAACTAAAACTGCTTACATAGTGTGCAGTGACTGTAAAATTGTTGTGTCTTTTTATGTAAAATAGTACACTCTAATTTTATTTTCTTGTCTATAAACCTGGCTGGTCTCACTAAGAAAGTGCAGCCTTTCTGTTACATAGCACAATTAAAAATTGTTTTTGTTTGTTTATTAATCTGGCTGATCTCTCAATGTGAAATAATGGTCATGGAGTCAGTACAATATTTATGCCTTTTTCTGTGAAATAAAACACTCTAATTTGATTCTTGAATACGGGCCCTTTAACACTAGTACGGTATGTTGTGAAACTTCCCTTCCTATCACATGAGACAGCAGATGTTGCAGCTAATGCAGATGGTTGCTCCCACTGAGCTCTGTGGTGCATAGTGTCATGTATTTCCTAATTAATTTGGTACCTAAATGGCTGTTACTTTTACCATAGTACCACTATTGGAACTGACAGCAGCAGATATGGTAAAAAGGCCCACACAGTCACACTCTCTGCCACAGAGCATTTGCTCTGCCACATGTCTCCCATAACAGTGCATAGTACCCTATACTTTGAAAATGTCCAGAATTGATTTTCAAAATGTGCTCCCCCATTGACTTCAGATTTATATTTTGGACGTTACAATCTTTTTGCAGAAGTTTTAACTCACAAGGGGCTGATATGCCCCTACGTGATAGTAGTGACAATTCCTTTTTATGCTGATCTCTCTCCTGTTACCTTTACAAACACATTGGGGGACAGAGTACACGCACACTTCTGTCAGTACTTTTTCAGCTCTGAACTTGAAAGTACTCTGAGCTAAGCAGTTCTGTGTTCATTCTCAGTAGAAGATGTTCCCAATCTCCTCCACCCTTGACCATTATGAATGACCCCACAGTGATCTCGTACCCACAGAGGAGCAAGGTGAGTGTGGGGACCGAGAATGGGGACAGGCACATGGCTACCCACTGGCACATCACCCCCATCACATTTACTTCTATGGGTGATCAGGCAGCTGTATAGCTTCCCAGATCACTCCTACACTCACATAGACCATGGGCATGATGAAAAGAAAGCAAACCCGGCTGCAGATCTGTATTGATCTATTCACTGCACTGCCATAACACAGCAATTGAGGTGTCAGTGCAAGGGTTAATCATGCCCATTACTTTCATTGGTGACCACACCAAAGTAGTTACCAATTAAATCCTCCAGGCCACTCACTGCAGTATGCAGCTCCTCACTGTCTGGGTGACATGGACACTTCCAATTGGCTTTTGGTGAGGTCCTCATAGGCATCAAAGGACACTTGATTGGAGACTTAGTTGATTAAAATAGGTGTTTTAAAGTTTTATTTTAAAGAACAAACAGGTAAATGGGTTGGAGATGGTGGAGGAGAGAGAGGAGAGAAATGTATAAGTTTTCCTGCAGACGATCTTTAAATAACACATTGCAGTATATGTGATAAACTACTGGGATATATAGTATGACATGTTAAATTATAACTGCTATGGGCTACAGTACATCATAGCTTAAGTTGATTTATGAAAAGAGTAGAGGCTGTTCGCTTTGTAATGGAAATGTACACTTTACAAAGTGTATGTTTACTTCGCAAGGTGAAGGTTAATAAATAGGGTGGACCAGGGAATCAAATACCAGGGAACTGAAAAAAAATGATATATATTTTTACAGGATGTGTCAATTTTCTGCATAGTTCCACTTCAAGCAAGTCTTTGAAATTCTAAGATTTATTTTTTGTTTGTCAGCTTTGAGCTACAACCTTAAATGGATTCATATACTTTTAAACTTTAGCCAGAATAAATAGATCCACTAAGTTCTACTGATTAACAAACATCTTCTGAACAGGTAGGTGGCATTGCTGTGCTGTGTTTCAGCTTGAAAACTGAAATGTTTTAATAGAGAGACAGTCAAAGCCTGTCTCTGGAACTGGCAAGATGCATTCATATTACATACTTGAGTGCTTAGAAAAACCTGAATGTAGCTTCAAATGAAGTGCAGCAGGCTGGTAATGTCTATATAAGGTGTTTTTCAGTTTAAGTATCATAATTTACATACTTGATTATATGCCACACTTTTATGTGGCACTTTTAAAAGTAAATAAATACAAAGAATTCAAAGAGAGAGAGGATGAAAGCAATTCACCTGGATACAGGCTATGAATCTAAAACCATAAGCATGAGCAATTTGTTATTGCATTTTATTAATCTTTAAGCCAGTTCCTATTTCTTACAAGGATGGCACAGACTACTTTGTATTTGCAGAAACTTCTTTTTCTTTTGATGAGCCATATACTGCACATCTGATGTCAAGGCATACTGAATCAAGCACAAGATTTTGATGTGTCCTTGTTTAGGGAGGCAACGTGCAAAGCGCAATAAAACACAGCAACGTAAATGAACACTGAATGCTTTTTGGTCGCTATAATATGCTGTATTTTGTAAACAATATTTTTTCTTTTGTTCTGCCTTAAGGAAAAAGCCAATTTCACCAAAATATGATCAAATAAAATATGTGTTTAAATACTTTATCAGGGCTAAATTTGCCATTAGGCACAGTGGGCGTGTACCTACAGGTGGCAGAGGCAAGAAAAAACTTTGACTTTATAGTCATTGGCCACATAATTGTTCCATCATCAGTAGAACTACTCTCATCTCCTATAAGCTTAATCACACATTCAGATTTAGGTTAGGATGAATAAAACAAGATAATATTCTGTTTGATAGAGGTGATCCTAGCAGAAGGGTTCACGGCCCAGTATTCCACAAACACAAGTACAACAGTGCAGCCTATAAGGCCGATTGCTTCTCTTCTGCCCTTTCCTTGCAATCCTTCCTGGCCTGCCCTTTTGCAGTTAAAGCATATCTAAACCCCTAAACATAAAATCTAATACCGTGTTTCCCCGAAAATAAGACGCTGTCTTATATTATTTTTTGCTCAACATTTGTACAACAATCCACAATTATTCATGTAGAAAAGTCTATATGTATTCATGTACAAACATATGGTGATCAAGGCAATCAGGGGTGCCGTACCTTTCCAAGAGCAATTTGGTAACCAATCGCTGGCCAGAATGAGCGAAGCGCACTTTCACTATCGATTCCTCACAGGCGGAGTGCATTTGATATCACTCCGCCTGTTACAGGAGCCGGCGCTTCAGAAGAAGCATCGACTTGTGCTCTGCTCCCTCCGGTGCCGCCTGGCTTCCTCTAGCTCTGGCTTCGTTGGCACCGGTGATTCTCTCCGGCGGCTCTTCAAGTTCCCCCTTATGCCACCACCGGCCCTGGGAATGGTCACAACTAGGTCTTATTTTCGGGGTAGGTCTTATATTTTAGCAATTCCCAAAAATAGTACTAGGTCTTATTTTCGGGGTAGGTCTTATTTTCGGGGAAACAGGGTATATTGCAGCTGACCAGTTATCAGATGTGGTCACTGCATTGTTTTTTTCTGTTAATCCTGTGAATAACACACTTCATCTCTCTGGGTAGCTATACTCACTCGTCCATCTATGGCGGGAGCCATTAATGTCACCCAAGATTGACTTTAAGCATGTCTTCCTCTCCTCGTCTGTATTACATGAGAGGAGGGGGCAATAGTAGTTTGCAGAAGAAGGATAACATTGTTTTTGCTTTTAGTGCCGTTGAAAGCAAGTTTTAAGGACTGATAAGCTGCAGTGTATTAGAACTGTGTTTGTTGGGCTTAGCTAAGCATGAGCAAAAACTGGATAAGAATATTTTCATAACTGTCAGAGTACTTTTTCATTCCTCCCTACAATCTTTAATTGCTATAAGGGTGTTTGAAAGACAGTGAGGGTACATACAGTACCTCCATTAGTGCTGGACCCTATGCTTGGTATGTTCTTAAGCTGATCTCCAGAATTTTCAAAAGTTAATCCTTGCAGTGGGGATATAAAGAAGATACACTCACTCAATTCTCGATCCTGTGGCGGTGACTGTTCCCCTCTCCCGGTAAAGGTCCGCTTTAATATTAGACTTTATTTTATAATTTTTGGGTGTTAATGGCATAATAAAAATAATTATATTTTGTTCAGAACTGAGCATCATCTCTTTATAACAATAACTTCTTCCCTAAATAAATGAATTCTAAATAAAAGATAATTCCTGGCCCTTTTAAAGAGTTATGGACAACTTGAGAGGCTTTTCCAAAAATATGACATATACAGTATATATACAGTATATATATTAGATTTTTAAGAGCCATCGACAACACAGTAGGCTTTTCTAACACTGCTTCAATATAACAAACATTGCATGCACACTTGCTTACTGTATAACTATACATATACAAAAGATAGCAAGTTTATATTCTCTGTTCACAGAGAATCGTGCTGGTGGTGCCATTCATGCAATCGAACACGAAAAAAGCTGTATGTTGCATCGATTGCCACGGATCTAACCCCATTGAAATCAATGGGGCCATGTGGCAACCGCTGTGTGCAAGTGCACATGATCGAGCCGTCCCAGGATCACCCAGGTCCGCACCAGCCCTTAACATGTTCACTGCTATATGTATGCAATCTCATTTTTCTCTTGGTTATATTACATACCCATCCAGTTTTGAAGATGACTCCTTTAGCTCAGATGCATGTGATTCTGCCTGGTATACCAGCTCTGGGAGGTCCCTGATTCGAATTTCGGCAGTAAGGTTGTCTATTTTTGCATCTAATTTTTCAGTCAGTAATGGAAGCTCATTGTTGACATCTCTCAAATCCTGCAAAGCAAATAATATGTTAGAGAAGCAAAGTGTCTACTGTAGGCAGTCTAGCAGCAGGTGGAATATGTGCAGAAAAGTTGCAGTTAGACTCCTAGAGAAATTAAAAGATTAGACATTACCTTAATTGTGTCTTAATTGAATGAATGAAAATAGAATGAAATATGTAATATTAACGCTATGGGGCCCGGGCACAGGGGGGCCCGGCTAGGGCATCCCTCTGATGCCGTGTGGGCCGCCTGGATCGCTATGGCATGTAAAGGTGCTGGCTGTCACTGACACAGCTCATCAGTGGCGTTTCTCCTCACAGCCGCTGCAGAGCTGTGTCAGTGACAGCCAGCAGCTACGGCAGAAGAAGCCAGTGTTCGCAGTGAAGGAGGAGGCGGGCCTGGCTAAGAGCAACTCCGCCTCCTCTTACATCACTGGCCAGCGACCTAAGAGCAGGTGGGGCCATTGATGTATAAGGAGGCGGGGACCCGTCGATAGAAGAGGAGGCGGGGTCCGGAGACGGAAGAGGAGGCGGGGACCATGGAGGCGAACAGCGCTGACAGGTAAGAGATGTGCAGCCCATTTGAGACACTGCAGAGCCCACTATAGAGAGTCTATGGTGGGCTATGCAGGGTCACTCTCAGGTGGGTTGTTTCGTATATTTAGGTGGGCTCTGCAAGTGGCATAACTAGCAATCACGTGTGACTTCTAGTTACGCCCCTGAGTATGTCGACATATCAATATAACCTTTGTAGTTTAGTAATATGGGGTCTATAAAGTATTGTAAAAATGTAATTAAATCAATATTAGTGTAGTTATAGATGAACAAACTGTCCCCGGGGCCTTTATGCTGACATTGGTCCATTTTCTATAATGAAGCAAATTCCAGTTACCTTTTTCAAAAGCATGTACTGTAACTGCCCAGGAATTGTAACTTGATATGGGATTTAAACTGCTTCTGTGCTGGAAAGATTCACGGTTGGCCCAGGGGCCACAAAATATGCTTTGCAAGTTTCAGACGACTAACATAAAGAATAAAACTATGTTTTGTTATTATATACTGTACATCATATACATGCAGGCACCTCCCTTTGAAGGCTCTACTGTGTCTAGTACTGGCTTTGTGGGTTTTTTTTGGTTTCCTATAACCAACCTCACCAAAACCTGCCTGGTTATATATAGACAATGAAAACTGTAGGGAAAAGATGAAGCTACAGATGGTATTCAGAGGACTTGGAATTTAGGGGGTCTAATGCATCTGTTGCAGCAGAAACCCACAATTGCAGTCTCCAGAGCCTTTGTATCTGCTCACAGTTTTTGGCCTTGGGGAGCAAAAGTAGTCACCCTCTAGAAGGAAAGACAGTGTCAGCATGAATTCAGTTATATATATATATATATATATCTATATATGTATAAAAACATAGCACAACTGTTTGCTGTGATAGACATCCAGCTTAGCCTGTTAGACTGAAGCAAATAGAATAGTATTATGGCTCAGACTGCAGTCTTGCGTTATGATGAGGTATAAGGTCTGCATGAAAGGTAGCAGTATACAGTATACTGTATATATATATATATCTCCTGACCTTATTAAAGTAAGGGTGTCAGGGTACACACCTGTTCCGTCGGAGAGGCGGGGGCCAGCGCCGCCTAGCACCTCCTTATCAGACCTCTCCACCCTCCAGCTAACGTTCCCTCCGCATAAGACAGAGGAGATTCAATAGTTCAGCGTCTCGCTATTGAATGAGGAGTGAGCAAGCTGCTCTCCTCACAAGCTGGGACTCCCAAGCTGATTGGATGAATACTACTCAACTGGGGGGTAACAGTCTCTTAGTCACTCTCTCTCTCTCTCCTACAATCAACCATCCAAACCTGGATGTCACTTGGGGTACAGGAAGAAAGCTGCAGCAGCTCCATCCTCTGCCAAATTCTGTGGAGTCTCTGAAGGATCTAGGGGTCAGCAGGGAACTACATATCCCATAACACCCTCTAACCGCAAGTATTCCCTGGATTGTGTAAAGTGATGTAATTTGTCTTCAGGGTGGATATTGCTAGTTAGTGGTCTCAACACTTGTACACATAGTGGACTATCCTTCTTGGGGTTATATCACTAGTATTTGCTCCTTGAACCTTCTCGCAGCAATTCCTGCTGGTATCACCCACTGTGGCAGCAGTCATCTGTGTTCTTGTTCTCTCATGCAGTAATACTCTATCCCAGCTTAAACATAACAGAGGGACGCAGTGCATGATGTAAACTTAACCCTTGAGCCGCCACTCTAATTACTAGAGAAAATCCTGGGTTCCGTACTGAGACTGAGACTACATTCCTGCCATCCAGTGAACATAGTTTGAGGTGCTGATTTTACAGGTCTCTAATCTCCGCAGCTGAGATCCATAGCATCCTAAAAAAATCCACGGGTTGTTACACATAGCCATGACAAAGGGTCATAATTTATGGGATCATTTAAAAATATCTATGCATGCCTCATCCTTCCATGTCCAGTTTTTTTAGATCATTCTACTTTTTGTTTTGCTTTTGACCTTATAGTAACTATTATACATTATATGCTCATTTGTTATAAATGGTTGAAATGCAAAATGTTTCCATGGGTGTGCTACTGAGGAGGACTTAGCCTGTTATTTTATTGAATTATATTTTGGGTACGATGGTTTTTCTCTATTGTCTATCCTGTTGTTGATAAACTCAGCAAAGTGCATATACAAAGGGACCTTTAGTTCTTTTCCCTATTCTCCAGGTTAAAAATGTTTAGTATTTCCCACACAGAAAACTTTTGTTCTGTTGTCAATATGCTGGTACAAATTGAATTCTGCCAACTAAAATTATTTATCGTTTGTAATGTTCAGCATCCCCTTTGATGACTAATCATTACTGTTTAAAGACCAGTGACTTTCCTACAATATATATATATGTAAAAATACCTGAAAAGCATTTCAGAGGTAAGTAAACACTAATTAACACTAACACTCATTAATACTAACCAGCCGTGAAGGATAAACATTGGCTACCAGAAGTCTTTATCTGCATACTTGTTCCAGGTCTATGGAGCAACATGGCAGCCAAGCAGCTTGCCTTTATAGAAGGAAGGTTCAACAATAGTATCCTCCATGTTCATCTAATGACAGGTTTCCTTTATATTCTCTAGATACACCAAGCTTCACTTACATTATCAGCTTCATTGATGCTTTGTGCCAAGTTATTGACTTCTGTCATGATGTCGTCAGCCTCGCTCAGCGTGTCTTCAGCCTCTTTCTTGCCTTTTTCAATGGCTTGCTTTTTCGCCTATGGGGTAGAAAAAAATAATCATCTATAGTATAATCTACATATCAGTACAAAGTAATGCTTAACCACAGGTGGCAAGTCAAGTAATGCAAGTACAAATTTACATTGTGTCATGCATCTAATAACTTATGCCACTATTGCACTATGTTCTCAAATACAATCTGAAATAACGTATAATCAACTGAAAGCAAGTGTCAAAAAACATCACGTCTTTATGCTGCAACATAGTGGGTGATAATCATCCATGCTTTCAGAATGCCACCTGTAGTGACTCATGATAATATCTTACGGCACGGATATTTGGCAAACACATTTGAAGGAAGTTTATTATTTTGCTTTATTGTACAATTTATTAGGGTTGCTGTTCATGTTTGAGAAAACATCAAACTCACCCTGAACATTGTAGATTCTGTTCTTAAAAACTAGATCTGAACATCTGTAATATTCAAATGTACTGAGTTCGGCACAAAAAAGTGATAAAAGCTGTGCAGTGGGCATTTTATGTACACTTAACAGTAATTATGTGCATATAATTACTCACATGGCTTTTTAAAGTCAGCAGGGGTTTATTTACATTCTTAAATTATAAACCAGTACAGGGATAGTTTACAATTTGCCAATGTACCATAACCAAAAAGACAAAGTCAGCCTCCCACAGCTGTGGTGTGGGGGATGCTATGTAGTCATTGAAAATAAAAAACGGTGTGGAGTTTGTAATAATATTGAATCCAGATCCTTACCCCACCATGCAGCCTGGGTGGCCAAGAAAGACAGCGAGTGTGCATCCCTCCTTTTGGTACCACATGCCTTTCAACAATGGGGTATACTTTGCCCTAGCCTCCCCTCCCCTTTGCAATGTACCCTTGTCCCAATGTTAAGGTTCAATGGTTGCTTACCCTCTTCCGTGTGCCCCAAAAAGAAGATGGGGTAAAAGTGAAATGTGGGGACCTATGTGCGAAATCTGGAAGATCCCTTTACAATAAGGAGGGGACCAGATATCTATACCCTCTCCTACATTAGTACCCCTATCTGTCCACTGACCACTAAGAAACACTCAGTGAACAGATTGCAGGTCTCAAGACTTGTCTTCCAAATTGACGTAGTCCAATGTGCAATAGCATGAATGGGGTAACAAGGATCATGGAGGCATACAAAAAAGGCCACACTATGTCTCTTGTGGTGTTTTAAAATTATACAGGTCTTTGACTTTAACGTTAAAATGGCTGATAGTTTAACTCTATAAGTTGTTTTTTGCCATTCAAAGTTTCTAGTGCACAGCCATAGTTTTTTTTTACATAAGTAAAGAGTATAGTAGGTTTGATATTGCAGTTGTTTATATCTGCAGAATTTAAATATCCTCAGCAAACTTTAGTAAAAAGAATAGACTTTTATCAAAGCATTCGCAATTGTTATCTTGCTCCCTAGAGGTTTAAACATTTGTACTAATACAAAACAAATGCTAATGTTAACCATTTTTATATTAAAAGTCCATCAAGAACCATAACAGATTCACATGCAAAGCACTATGCATTAGAGTATATACGACATTTCCATCAAAATACATTCGTTCAAAGTAAGGACATTCATTACTCTACAAGGATAAAAATGTAGATTTAAATAACCTTCAATACAAGCCATTAAGTCATCTAATCACACTTTATTCATTCCTGTTCAGTTCCATCTGGATTTATTTAAAAAAAAATCCCATCTCAGATTTAAATAAATTAAAAATTAAACTGTGTTTCAATATACTACAGAAAGTAACTTGAGGATGGCTAATTCTCACATGTTGTCAAAATCAAAGTGTACAATAGAAATTGCTCTTAAACTATAAATTATGAAGAAACTAAAGTAGCCCAAATTAAAGCAGTTTGGAGAGTTGTAATGGTGAATCATTCGATGTATTAAACTTTATTTTTATACACCTATACTACATGTAGGAAAATAATATATATGGCCTATAACACATCTCTCATCATTTTTAAGATAAAGATTTATAGGCTTATTTCACTTAGCTATAATGATTGTTATTTGCCACAACAACCATTTTTTTATATATATGAAAACCAATGAGAGCTTCAGATAACAGTCACATGGCTGATCATGATGGTCATGGCAAGTAATACATACCTTATAGTTTAAGGACCCTTATGCCTCTCTCTTTTTCTTTACCTCTCTTTCTCTCTCCTGCCCTCTTCTATTCTCTCTGTGTTAACATTGTTTTTGCTGCATTGTTAATACATTTTAAATAAAATATCTAATTACTTTGACTTGTTCACTTTACTACTTATGATTTTCTGCTATGTTCAATACAGCATTTAAATGCCAAAATTATATTATGTTGGTTAAATATTGGAACATAGGGAAGCATGGCTTAGATGGGCTCTTATATTAATATTCACATTGGACTGAGAAATAAATGTGTGCCTATCCATAGATTTAGCTTAAGCTCCCTGCTGAGTGCCCCATCAAAGGTCTGACTAAAAGGGACCGCAGTAGAGATACCACTGCTTTTCACACAGGATGCAGAAGTCTTTTTTTTAAACATGCTGACAAACATAGGTGTTTTCTGCTGTGGCTCGGTAGGGGTTAAAAAAAAGGAACACAATTATTACTTGTTACTATTGTGGACCACCCTGATTAGATTAGCATAATTTTCTTAAAGTTGGGCTTTAACTCTTTCCCTACCAATGACATAAGATATACAGTAGAACAGAGCCACTTCGAGCTGACCAGGCAAGTAAGCCCTATGTCAGCTGAATTGCATTACTGCTTCAGTGACCATGAACATATGGCAGAGGGGTCCCCTAGAGGGCCTAGACTCTTCTGATTAAATGAATATCTGTAACAAGCCTTTCATAGCAGCTATTCATTTAAAATTTGATGCCCCCCACCAAGCCACCACCACTGCTCTGCATTGTCTCTGCCTGTCAGAGTTCCTCCCTGCTGTGTGGTGGCAATATGCTCCCCTCTGTGTCTGTTTTTACAGGCAGAGACAGTGGGTTGTGGAGGGGACATGAAGGGGAGCATACTGCAGCCCACAGTGGGGAGGACTGAGTGACAGATGGGGCAGTAGTCGGCATCAGGGATAATCCTTTCAAGAACTTCCAGGTTTTTAGGTGCCGATTTACAGTTTTGCATACTGCTTCTCAATAATGCACAATTTACAATTTACAAAAATGTATTATTAACTCAAGACAGTTTTATCTTTTAGTTATATTAGGAATTTTGTAAGTTTTTTTGTATACATTAATAATTTTAGTGTATTTGTATTGAAACTATTGTTTGATAAACATTTGCTATCATGGGATTTACAAAACCAGTAGCACCATTTTTTTTGTGCATTCAGAAAATATAGGGTTTGGGGTGTCTTTTACAAACTCTAAAAGATGTGTGTTGAAGTGTTACTCCAGTAAAAATGTTTTCTGAACTTTGGACAGACTGCTGAAGGGTTATATCTCCTGTCAGGTTTTTTTGATGTCTTAAGCTGGCCATTCACCTATAAATTTGCTGCAGATTTTCTATAATCAGATGGAAAAAATGCAACAGATTCCGCCATCTGCACTAAACCGTGTGGATGGAGGAATCTCTCCCTGGGCCAAATTTCACTATCTTGCTAGTCGGCCCCGCTGGCTCTCAAAATACCTGAAAATACCTGAACAATCTGATTAGATGTAGGCATTTTTCAGGTGTTTTGAGAGCCAGCTGAAGCTTGGCCCATTGAGAGATTCCTCCATGGACACAGTTTAGCGTAGATGGAGGAATCTGTTGCACTTTTTCCATCTGATCATAGAAAATCTGTAGATGATCTATAGGTGTATGGCATGCTAAAGTCTCCTTTAGGGAGATTTCTTCACACACCCTGTCCTGATGACTATTATCTCACTACTGGACTAACAAGGTTATATTACAAAAACAGCAACTACCAATTGCCCGTACAGCACCCCCTCGGTTCTCCTGAACCAAAGGGGTCCTGGTGCCGAAGCTAGCCGAAGGATCGGCCGAAGCTACGGCCAGATCCTTCGGCAGCTTTGTGAATAGACCCCTATGTGGACTGCCCATTTAAGCTTTACCGAGAAAAATACTGATATGGTTAAATTCTTCTGTAAACAGTGTAGAATGTGTTGATGCCATATAAATTAATAATAACATGACTACACTCTGAGAACTAGCGGAATATATGATTTCAAAAACAACATCTGGTATGCAGAATAAAATAAAGTACAAGGGGAAAAAATGTCATCTGAAAATCCCAGCCTCCCAGATAATACATTAAACTGCAATTAAATAAGAAATACATGTTAAGGTTTCCCATTGTCATCAACAGCACAGAGCACATCAATTCATTCTATCAATTTTCCAGAAAGTAATTTTGCCTGTCTGAAAGTCTCATGCTGTTGTACGGCACCTTATCAGGAGATCTATATATTATTCATTATTAAAAGTAGTTTAAAGTTTGAAATCAGCTGCTCAGAAATAATATTTTATTGATACCAATATATATCACGTCATATGCTGCTCTTGCCAGTTGTAACAATTGCTACATTCAATTAAAAAATGGCAACATCTGAATTAATAGCTCATGAAAATTCTTCAGGCTAAACAATAATTATTATTGCTTGACAATTTGTTCTGCTTTCCGTTTCTGTGGATAAGTGGAAATAATGTATTTTTCTTCATTCATTTTAGGCAGAATGATTTCCATAACATATTAGTTAAAAAGCAAATTCACCTTTATCATATTTTCTGCTTTTCTTACTTATGTTTAATAACCTTTCTTTTTCCCTTTTTCAGAATATTTCTCTCTTCTGTGTCCTGTCGTCAGCTGCCTTTTGACATTTTTTGGCTGTGATGGGAGATCTGTGCACACATGAAGCTCCCTATGTGTACAGACAAATTGACAGCTGGAATCACCCTGACCAGATTGTAACTATCAATCATAGCTACTGCAGAACAGTGCAGGTTTCAGCAACCTTAGGAAAGAACCAGTATTGCAGTAACATTTTCCCAATACATATGAGTACTACAATTGCTAGTTACACATACTCTTTACCTTTAATACTTTCTGAGCTGCTGACCTGGTATGCAGTTTAGGAAAGTCAGAGAATAGTCTTATGTGCTTGAAGTAGTATTAAACTCTCAAACCTTTCTTTCAATAATTAATCCAGGCAAAATGTTCAGCGAATTCCACCTACAAAAGAGTTTGGGAAAAATTCCTCCAAGCAGCAAAAACAGATGGCTTCGAGCCATCCTCCCCCAGAGTCCATATATCGGCTATTTCGGCATTAACTAGAACCAGATGGTCTTTTCATCCTTGAGTGAAACAATTTCTTAGGGCTTGTCTCAAGCTAAGACCACCAAAAAGACTGTCCTTTCCTCAGTGAGATTTAACGGTGGTATTGAAATCCCTGTTGCAGTCTCCATTCTACCCTTCATCAGAAGATTCTACCTGTAACCTCACCCTCAAGGTGGTGTTTCTGCTTGCGATTGCCTATGCATAACGTGTTTCTGAGCTACAGCCATTGATGGTGGACTCTTCTTTCTGTGAATGTTTCCCTGATAGAGCAGTCCTGAGACTTAACTCCTCCTTTCTTCCAAAGGTTACCTCATCCTTTCCTCTGAATCAGGAAATTGTCCTTTCATCCCTAATGTGAGAGTCAGGGGAACCTCATCCCCTGGATGTGGCTGAATCTCTGAAGTCCTATATAACAGTCACAGAGCATTTTAGATCTGCTCCAAACCTCTTCATCCTCCCCAGAGGAATCAGGAAAAGTCAAGCAGCCTCCAACAGGACACTGGCTTCAGGGCATAGAGGCACCTCAAGAAGTTCGGGCGCATTCTACCCAAGGAGTGGTGACATCGTGGGCAGCCTCTGCCAATGTGTCAAATGAAACCATCTGCAAAGCTACCTGGTCATCCTGAAATACTTTCATTAATCACTATCGAATTCACTCGGCTTTCCTCACTACTGTGGACTTTGGCAAGACAGATATTGCTGCAGGCTCTACTGTGTAAATATGTTAAATTAGTTATTAAAAATGATTTTGCAGTTATTCTCTCCCTGTGGTGATTTCTATGTCCCATTGTGTGCTGCCATGATGTACCAGGAAAACGGAAAATTGTATACTTACCTGTCGGTAATTTTCCTTTCCTGGTGCATTTTCATGGCAGCACACAGGGATCCCCTTAACCCCATAGGACATGACTTGTCCTATGGGGTTAAGGGGCGGAACGTTAACCCATTGTGTGCTGCCATGAAGATGCACCAGGAAAGGAACATTACCGATAGGTGAGTATACAATTTTCCGTATATATATATAGATGATTTCCACTCAGAAGTTGGAGCTCCCAGCTTTTCCTTTTACCGTATACAATGCGATGAATCATAGTGACCCTTTCCGCTTCCCTGCCTGTTCAGATGGGGCTACATAGTTTCCATCAGAAGGACAGAGAAACTGAAAGTAAACCTTTTCTTTTTTGTTCTCTCTTTAGAAAACCCATAATATGAATTCTGTCTCATGGCTGTGCCGTGTAAAAAAGAAATTGTGCAAATAGTAAAATGCAAAGCTAAAACATTAGTTCAAAAACTTGGAAAAATTAAAAGTTGCCCAAAACTATTATATTTTCCATTTAACAGCTTGTGGGAGGCTTAACAGGTCAAATAAGTAATTGCAGCGTTTTAGAAATCGAGCTCCACTTACACTTATGTGGAATTTATTGCTTGTGTATTTGTGAATTAAGCGTTTTATTCATTAGTACAATAGAGTAGTAGAGTAATGAGCAAATGTACACCATTGTTCGTTATGGGGCAACAAATAAATATTACCACGCAATTAAAAATAGATCAGAATAGGAAAGGGTTATAAGACCAATATTAGTTATGTCATTAGTTATAAACATACACAATGTAATTTTGAGTAGGCAAAACAAGTAATTAAGCAGCCTTACACATTTGTACAGTCTGAATCAACCACACAGTGAAGTGCATATTTTTAGTATGATCTACTAAGTTTATGCATACAGGTAGTACCTGCCTAATGTCATTTTTGTTGAATGAAAATTCCCATATACATGACACCACAAACCGTTATAAAATAACCAATTTTCAGTATAGTGAGTTCCATGCAGTTCTTTATCTTTCAGAATGTGTACAGAATGTGACAATATATCAGAGTTTATTAACAGTTTAAAAACTGTAGACAAATGCATTCTGATAGCTACTAGCAATGTATGCATTGTCTGCATGGCACAGTATATCACTAAAAAAGACATTGCGTTAGAAACAACATTTTGACAGTATGCCATATAGTGCTAAATAAACAATTTATTTCAAGGTAATATAATACTTGTGAAGAGATTGTAGAGAGCCTGTACCTGCCTACTTTACGCTGCCGATTACAGCTCTTGCTAAAGTATTATACCAATTTTAGAAAGCCCAGAACTTCTGACGAGCATGTTTTGTAATGTGGGAATTTATCCAGCTCCTCACGTATAAACGGTATTTCACTGTCTACCAAATGGTGTAAGAGGGTCTCATGAAGAAACAGGAAGTAGTCTCTCTCTTTGCATTCTAAGCCAACAGAAATATGTTTTTTTTCCAGAATGCAATTCTAAACAAGAACATGCAAAAAATATCTGAAGTTAAAATATGAAATTATTTACAGATTTAAGGACCTATGTACACAGCAAAACCCATGTGTGCAAATCCCATTCTTTACTATGGGGTTGGTTCACATCTAAGCACTGCAGTTTTTACACAGAATAGTGTAAATCCAGCCTGAATGTAATTATGAAGTTTTCTAACAAGAGGGAGTTAAGAAGCATTTACCTTAAATACACTAAAATGCTTGCATTGTTCCCAAGGATTCTCCTGTCTTTGCAACCAGCTCAGGATTAGCCATTTTCTAACAAAAAATCCAATGTTCCAATGATTTTGCAAGTGCTTTCATGATGAACAGGAATGTCAAATTTATAAATGCCTGTTTTTGGACACCATTTCCATATTTAAGTCCCTCTTATGTGCTTTGCTGTGTTATGCTCAATAAACATACTCACAGACTCAGGGAATCCACTGGTGTCCTGTAGTGATGCCCTGCTCCCCTGCTTTATACCAGGTCTCGCATAACCATTTTACTCTCTGGTGTCATTGGGAGCCAGATGTGTCTTCCTGGTTCTTGCAGATGGCCTCCTAAGATACTTGTGTTACCCATCGCAGTAGGCTTTGGGTCAGCCAATCAAAAATAAGGTGAGTCGTCTGGGGGCCAGCTGCAAGAACTAAGAAGAGACAGATGGCCGCCTGATGTGGCACGTGTGCATTTTCAGTTGATTGACCTGAAGCATCCTGGGATGTGTAATGTGGGTATCCCAGGAGCTCTGGGCTATGTCATTCTTGGAAGTGGGGGGCTGCTTAATTTGAAGTTTTTTTCCTTACATTGTAATTCTGTGAAAGGAAGGGGGAATGATTCATATTAGGGAAAGAAGGTGTGGAGAGTGAAGGTCCGCTTTAAAGAGAAAATACAAACTATTTCCTCCACTTGACCTCGGACGTCAAATACTAAATATATCAGTCCTTCAGGGGTCATAAAAAATTTGTGCAAATCTTCCCATGCCTTTCCTTATTTATCCTAATTTATTTTAAATTGTCTATATTTCACTTTGTTAAATGTTTATTAATGTACGGTACAGCGTATGTAATTTGAATAAATTGAGAGCTGGCAGTCAAGGAAGGGCATTTATTACAGTTAATAACCACTGCTGAATGTGTGTAATTATTACAACATATACAATGTTAGTATTTGTGTAGGCAAGAACAGGAAAAAAGCAATTGGCCATGCTCGTGTAGCACCATGTGCCTTTTGCCTTCTTTTTTCAGCTTTTTCAGCACATTATCCAAAGACTACTGTGTAATGAATTTTCATTCTGCACAAGACATTGAGGAAAACATGTTTGGTAATAGCAATATTTCAGTACCTCCAATGCAGTCATATTGCGTTGATTGATGGCAGATAAACTATCAGATTCTTTAATTTTCCCCCGGGCTTCTCGGAGCAAGTCTGAGACATCATCCAGTTTTTCTTGAAACTGAGTTAATGTGTTCATTGCCTCCTGATTTAAATCATTATTTTTATTATAAGGATCCTTAAATAGCTTCTTAACTTTGTTAAAAAGATCTTCTGCTGCCCTGCAATGAAACGGCACAAAATCAAATTAAATAACCAAATTATTTTGAAAGGGTTAAAAAGTAAACACCACCTTTAAAATGTATACATCTAGCAGTTTTTTAAAATTACTTTTGTATGCTGTATGCAGTTGTTGGTTTAAGGCTAGGTGCACACTTGAGTGTTGGCTTCTCCATTAGTTTTTGGCCCATTTTAACATTTTGTTTACATTTGTATACATGTTTTTTTCTCAGATTAGTTTATGCCTATTCAGGTGTAAATTGCCGTTTTACTCTTCTTGTTACCTGGATCAAAAGAACTACCATTGCTTACATCAGCCTTTTTTTAAAACAATCAAAACCGCATTTTCGGGGGGGGGGGGGGGGGGTGATTTACTATAGAAGTGGAGACTGTTCACTTAGCAGAGTAAATGTTCACTGAGCTTATATGAAGCTGTATTAACTTCAGTCAACCAGTTTTGTATTAGCAAAAATCCATTTATTTTCATTTTGCTTCCCCTTGAATAGGTATTTAGTGTAAACACAGGCTTACCTTATCTTCTATTATTCAAGTGAAAAACCTCTACTACCTTATAGACATGTAAGTTTCATACCAAATTGAAATTGAGACAAATTTCTTTAAATTCGTTTGTTCCCGAATTCCAATGCATCTAAATTTGAACAAATCCAAATGTTTTATTCTGAATTTCTTTTTTTGGCTTTGGGTTTTTTTTCGGCAGGTCTAATGACCAGTATGGATAAAGAGGACCTGTATGGACTAATATGACCAGTACAGACTAAGATGACCAGGACAGACTAAAATGACTAGTACAGACTAAGATCACTAGTATTATTATATTATTATACAGGATTTATATACAGTATATATGCAGCAGTTTGTGCAGTGCTTTACAATATAAGATATACATTACAATACAATTCAAGACAAGAAGGTAAGGAGGGCTAAGATGTCCAAAACCCTGCCGCAAAAATAAAATTTTTGATTATAGGACCAATCCAAATTGACCTGTCTCGAAAACAAAAATGTTGGATTCATCCAAACCGTAAATACAAAAATTCAGATCAATACAAACTGAAAACAAAAATGTTGAATCATTCCAAATTCCGAATAATGTACCAAATTGAATTTCGGATCTGTAATCCAAAAAAATTAGAATCGTTACGAAACTAAACAAATATTTGTAGCTTTTATATGTCTACTACTTTAGTAAATCATCTTCAAGATGTTATTTGTCTTTCATGTACATTTTTTTGCCCATCACATAATATACCACAGCCTAGATTATATTCATGACCAGTGCTTTCTTTGCTCTTTGGGGTAGAAATATTGAAGTGATTAATGCTTTTTGAGGTTCATCGAATTGTGCTATTTTTTTTAAGGGCTACTGTTTGAATCTAAGAAGCATATGGAAACTTGCTCCAGACAAAAATGGTTGGAAATTTACTAGTCATTCAGTTATTTTTTTTGCAGCTGCCAGGCTACTGGTCAAAGGGTGGTTCCATTATTCTAAATAGACATATCACTAGTTGAATAGCACTAGAGTACAATAAATGAAATATATACAGTATATATATCTTGACAAGTAAACAGAAAAAAAAATAAAGTATAAAAACATTGATATCTTGTCAGGAAGATTAAAAAAACTTTAATAGAAAATGCAGATGTTTTACGCATTTTCCTGGTACCCTGTGATTGTTATTTTTTACCAATACGGAAACAATATGTGTGGATGGAAAGATTTGCTAGTTCTCTGTTCACAGTCACATACTGTGTTTATCATCATTAAACTAACTTGGAAAAACATTAAAGTTGTTATTTTGAGAGCATGGCTATTTATTTTGTTCACAGACTTACTGATGTTCCTCCAAACTGAAAATTGAGATTGGTAAGTGAGTGTTTTCATAATATGTAATTATGCTTACTTGAACTCCTCTGTGGCCACTTTCTCCTGATTTTTAAACATTTTCATCCTGAGCTCAGCCATCATCTTGTCAACGTCCTTCTGTAACTCGTGGAAACTCTTGTCCTGTGTCTTGTTCTGAATACCCAGCATTTCATTTAGCTTCACAGCTTTCTCATGTAACTCTGAATATAGTACAAAGGTTGCATTACATGAGAGAGTTTCAATTTATTTCTGAGTTTATTCAATTTAAATTACTACTCTATGATCAACTCATAAAATGTAGGTGAAAGCATCAGGTAAAGTCTTAAAGTTGAACTCCAAGGAGGAAAAAAATCATGCAGCTATTTTTTTATTCATAAATCAAGCAGAAGGTTTGGAGTTTAAGTCATACCCTTTAATAGATAAATGTAACAGCATGAAAAAGAGATATAAAAAGGTATCCTAAAAGCTTGCATCTTTAATTACTTAAAGGGGTTCTAAACCCTCCTTTTTTTGCCTATATCTACTGCTAGCATGCAGTAGATATAGGCAAGAAGTGTAAAAAAAAAAACCGCTTAAAATCCTTTTAAACTTGCCTCGTTATCACCGCTCGTTCCCGCGCCGAGAATCAGGAACTGCTCGTACGGCCGCAAAGGACCTTGGGGCGGGCGCAATGCGCAGTTCCGATTCTCGTCCGGGAGACGAGCAGAGACGCAAGGTAGGTCTATGGACGCGTGCACCCGCCTGCAGACCTAGCTGGATCGGAGAGACAGAGCAGTCAGCACTGGATCGGAGTGACGTCCCACCGCTGGAGGGACAGATGAAAACATGGGGAAAGAAGTGGAAGATCAGAAAAAGAGACATCATTTAAGGTAAGTGCTAACATTTACATTGGGGGGAGGGAAAAAAATGTTTGCCTTTAATGTCACTTTAAGTTAACCAATAAAGGGTGTTACTTAAATTCCATTAATTGAAGCATAACACAGTACAATACTTTCTTACTGCTATTCGAAAAAACATTAAGGGGGTATTCACAAAGGAGCCGAAGGATATAGTTTCAGCTAATTCTTTGGCTCAATTCAGCCGCCAGAGCTCTTCCGGCCGAATCGGAGGACTGCTGTACGTGCTATCCACAATAGCCCATACAGCAGCTGAGCCAAACGCATATGCCAAAGTCACAGCCGAAGTGTTTGCTTTGGCAGACCATTCTCCATGTAAATGTAAACAAAAAAAGAAAATGGCGTGGATTCCCCCTCCCGATCCGAGTTCACAGGCTACTGTCCTCAGGTCATTGTCAAAAACTTTAGTTTTTTTCAATTAAAGGATTTCTTTCTAAAATTGTGGTTTCTTTATTTACATTTTTCTTTAACTCTTTATTGAATGCATAGGGGTACAAGTTAAGGGCCCCCACACACTTTTTTTACTTTTTAACTCAATGTTCCTCCTAACTTTCCTACCAGAACCTTATCGGGAGGGGAACACCACGCTGTTTTTTTTTTACATATAATTTTTTTTATTCTGCTCACTACCTCTTATGTAGTGAACAGAATAACTGAGGCAGCATTCGGCTATTCACTTACGAGTGAACTGCCGGGCGTTCAGCTCAGCCGATCCAGATGTTGGATCGGCAGAGTTGAACGAGTTCTTCACTTCGGCTCACCCAAACATGCTGAGTATGCTTGGCTAAACCGAAGAGGGCCAAAGGCAGCCGATGTACGGCTGAAATCAGCTGTATTCGGCTGAAGTGAATAGCAGAACATAGTTTGTCTCCCTTCACTTTGGCTCAGTTATTCACTCGGCTGCCTTCGGCAGCTGAGTGGATAACCCCCCAAATATAAAATTACATGTAGCAAATTAGTACCCAAATTTGTTTTATTAGAGTCCTGTAAGCACCTCTATGGTAGGACTGGGAGAAATAGGGGAAGTGTTCTGACCAAGTCTTGCTTGTGCTGTATGTAGATGCTCTAACAAAGAACGAGGCAAGATATTTTAGCATCAATGTGTTGCTGCTTCTTGAAAATCAGAAGTTAAGGGCAGGAAAGTGACAAAGTTGTATTGTTTAAGTGCAGTACTGTAGAGTTTGCATGAGCTTTACATTCGGGTCAACCATAAGTTGCGAATGTTGGCTCCCATAGCAACCAATTACCAACATGTAATTTTCTGGCCTCTAATCTGTGGTCAAGTTGTGGTCAGGTTGCTTAGAAGGACCAATCATGGGGATTCCCAACATCCATTGTTCAGTGTCTGTTGAAGGACAGGTATAGCAGTTAGGGTCACAAACAGCAGGGAAAGCTAAATGCTAATACTGGTTGCTGGAAAAATGTATCTATTTCCATGGAGTCACAGACACACTAAAGCTGGTCATACATGAAATAAAATGTGGCTAGTTTTTGATGAACCAACTGAAATTCAAGCAATGTGTGGCCCTGGTGGTACCACTTTAAGTTTTGTAGACAGCAGCCACTGGCGCAGTCTATTCACACTGTGTAGCATGGATGTAGGAATCCATTAGATTGAATCTAATAGTGCATGGCCAGCTTAACAGTGTGCTCTACAGTTGTATACAGTTGTATAGCACATCAGGGAGAGATTTTAGAGTGTTTGCTTGAAGAGTTAGATGCTGGTACTGATTGCTGAAAATGTCTATCTATATTTACACTGAATTACACACACATTAGCAGTGTGCTTGCACAATGGTATAGCAGATTATAGAGATATTTTAGAGTGTTTCCAGATACAGTTAGTCATTCACTTTGAAATCATATCGGAATAAACTGAAGGTAGAAGCTGCTCCAGATTCTGTCTGCTTCAGTTTTAATAAATTCCCCTCACTATCTTTTGCTTCATGTTGGTGCTTTTTTAATTTCATGTTTCTTTCTCATTAATTTAGGCTTAATAAACTGGGTGTTGTTGCTTAATGTCTAGTTCAAGTGTTTAAAGACTGTACACATACCCAATAAAATATCATGGGGGCTTTTTTTTCAGTGGAATAAAAAGAAACTACAATATTTTGTTGGCTTTTCGGGAATTAAGCACAAATAAACATTCTTATGTTGATTTCTATATAAAAAATGTTCCTGTTTAAAATGCGGCCTAGTACAAAAGATTAAATACAGTGTATGTAGGCACTACAATATATTGGGAGCTTTTTCTATAAAATATTTAAACTATAATGTTGAATTTATGGTTTTAAAATTGCTGTTGCGTGCCCTGTTCATAATATGGCCTAATACAAGTGATTAAATACTGCAGACATAGACACTACAATATTCTGGTGGCTTTTTTAATTGAATAAATTATACGCTAATGTTGATTTCATGGTTTTAAAAGGGCTGGTGGGGGTCCATTCAAATTGGGCATAGTAAATATTATTCAATACTGCACACATAGGCAATACATTATCTTGGGGGCTTTTTTGACAATAAAACTGCTGGTGGAAGGGAAAATGAATGGGTCTGGACCAGTGTTTGGCTCTCAGCACTATCAAAGGTTAGCACTATATTTTTATAAAAATAAATAAAAATGAAATATAAAAAAATAAAGTTGTGGGGGGTTGCGGGGGGCGGGAACTTACCTGCCGCTCCTCTGCTTTGAAAGGGGGCGATCACAACCGTCAGCGCTCCCTCCCTCGATCAAATGCTTGGCAAAACTTTGCCTACATTCCGTTCCACTGCAAACGCAAAAAATGGGGCCGCTCTATTTTTTGCATTTGCAGTCGAACGGAACGCAGGCAAAGTTTTGCCAAGCGTCTGATCGCACTGCAAAGTGGGGGCGGGGTGGGGGGAGCGTGGAAGCGGTGCCATTGACTTCAATGCACCCCTCCCGCCCCAGAACGCAGGGGGAAGATCACGGTGTGTTCCAGCAGCTACCGCTCTGGAACGCACTGCTTTCGGTTTGAACAAGTCCTTATGATAAACCTTCCCCAGGCCCACCTACCTGCTTGTCAGCCTGGTCAGATGCTCTGCTCCTGCAGAGCCCACACTGGAAGAGCAGGAAAGTGCCGCTCGCTGTCCACAGTGACAGGCCCGGATGACCCCCACTGCCCCCCCCACAGCCTCAGGCCCCGGGCCCCCGCACCGGTTGCACCGGCGGTAGTTCCGCCACTGTTTATGTTACCATCTAATTGAGGACCTGCTGCTAAAAGCAAGCAAACATGTAAAAGTGAAAAAAAATTATGTGACAAATTATGTGACATCAGCATGTGGTGCCACTGAGGCTGTCTGTGAGAATGATACTATTTCGTAACACCACACACAGTTTAAAGGCATCTCCCAAGCATGTAAATAAACATTGCATAAAAAGGAGGACCCTCTCCCAATGAACAGTAGTCTTTTTATAAAATGTTGCATTGGTAAATGTACCCCCATGACAGTGCCCAACTCCCCATTCCTTTTTTTTGGGTGATGCCTCACCTATTAGCCTTTAAAAAAATTAGCCTTAAAAAACGGTCAGAATTTGTTTCTAATAACTTCAATGGGACCAGCGGGGTCTTAAATGGCTTCTTTTCAATTTACTTTTAGATAAACATACAAAGGAGATCAGAGACAGAGCTTCTGCAGCATTTCCACCAGTGAGGGAGTTACGGCTTAATCTTTCCGGCTAGCGAGGGAGCAGCAGTGCAAACTAAAATGAATTATTTTTTTGCTCTCTCTAACAATTCTGTTGCTGGTTTGAAGTATTCTATGAGGTGAAAACACAGGCTCTTTAACCTCTTTTTTACCAGCATATGTTTATAAATGGTGGATTGGGGGACTCTTATACCACCATTTATAAAACAGTCACTGGAGAAAAGTCCCACAGGCGCCTGTTTTGTCTGCAAATTGATGTGTAGCAAGCCATCCTTAGATGGCTTTGTACACAAAGATAGTGTCTCAGTAATATGTGACATTTCCTCCCCCATTTTTGAGGGGTGTGGGCTCCCCATAAAAATTCCTATGAGACCTAAAGGGCCTGGTATAACTTTGGGGGAACCCCGTGCACTTTTTTATTTTCTAACTTGTCTTTTTTTATTCTGTTCGCTACCTTTGAGGTAGCGAGCAGAATAACCGGGCCGAATGCTGCTCGGCGGCATTTGGCTATTCACTCACTGTTGTTCTGCCCCTATGAGAATAGGGGCGAATGGCAGTGAGTGAGTCAAACACCCGTGAGCATGTTCGGCTGAACCGAAGGGAGCCAAAACCAGCCGATGTACAAGTGAAATCAG